GTTTTTAGGTATTCCCTGGATTTCTTCACGCATGCGATTTTAGGTGAAAATCTTATTCTACGAGAAAGTTTGCCAGGTTTTAAGTAACGTTATGAGGCATTGCGCAGTTAATGAACAAGTTCTTGAGGGCATCGGTTTTACTGAGGAAATAAACTTCTACAGAATTTTAGACGACACAAAATAGTTTGCACTCGAGAGCAGCTGTTGAAATAGTTCTGATCAGTTGAAACGGTAAACGGCGGCATAGGAAATTTTTTTGTGAAAATGCTGAGCAGGGGTATCCTGTAGCATATTTAACTTAGCGCAATGGTTTGATTGAGTCCTGTGCGCCGAAATAAGACAAAAGGCCTAAAGGTGTAAGAAGCGCGAAAAAAGTCTGCGATTAAGTTGAAATATGAAAAACTGTTGAATGAAAATCCTTGCCTAATCAGAAAATAGCATAATGAGGCTATTGAAATGCAACCTCAATAATAATGGACCCTAAGGACACTCAATGCGAGTGACGTAACTGATATCCTCTACGGTGTGCTGTTGGAAAGACCAAAAAAGCAGACAATACTAGCATAAAGACATTAAAAATTCCGCTGTTTGGATTTTTAAAAATCCATTCGGAGTACAATACTTTAAAAACAGTTTAGTGCTGATGCCAAAATAGGTTAAAATGCCGGGAGACAGCGGGTATTCCTAGCATAGGAACTGTCTTGACCTGCCCTTTGCATGGTTTCTATCATGCCTGACTTTGTAGGCTTTTTGGTGCCTTGGGAATTCACAGTGCAGGCTGGTCCTCAACAGCCGCCTGGATCAATTGGTAGAGTTCGACCTCTCATCTCTTTAGCTGTTTGGCACTTAAACGCAAGGCGCTGATGTCAATAACACTTATATAATGACGACCAGGACAGTGCTACTAGTGCGATTAATATTATGTTATAAAATGGACAACATTTCATATATCGGTAAAATCTGACTCAGCAGAAAAAAAACTACTTCCCCACTTTCTGTCTTCTACATCTAGGGACAACTCAGGGAGGCCAAATGTGAGAAAACTCCTACAACTAGGCCTAATGCAGCAGGCATTGGTTGAGAGCTGTTTAGGCAGACAGTATGACTACTTACAGGCCAACCTTGACTGATCTAAATTTATGGCATTCAATGTGACAATTTCGTAGACAAGCGTCCATGGGACGTGAGGTGTGATTTTTTGGGATTTCGAACCGGACTATCTTAAAACGGATTCAAGGGTAGCCATTAGGCAAACTCAAACCTGATTTTCAAGCCAAGTAATGGTTAACTCTAGGAGTCAACACATAATGCAAGCATATAGACCAAATTTTGCTCGAGAAAAGTCTAACCCATTAGAAATACACTTTAAAAAGGAGTGACCGCAATTATATTCTTATATCCGACCTTTTAATATCACTTATACTTTCACGGCCTAGTAGTTTTAGGATGCAAGGCGGCTACGCTTTTACCTTTTGGAATACGTGTAACAGTCGCGGTTATTCTTTGTAAATTCTACTTCAGGCTAGACTGCCTTTTGGTCAAAAAAAGCATATTTTGCACAATTTAGAAGCCGAAACAGAAAGTGAAAACGGTCTGGCATGACCATGAGTTCGAATTAAAGACTGGACTAAAAACGAACTAAAGTAAATAACGAAGATGTACAGGATAGTTTGGTCCGAAGAAATAACTCTGAATATGGCATGGATGTATGCAAATTAACGTACTTGCTCGAAGCGGACGTGGAACACCTCCAACAAATATAGTTTTTCGTGGGTCAAGTGGCTGAGATCCATCCATGACGAAGTCAGAATCGGCTAGATTCCAGGGACGTATTTGAACCTTTTAATGAAAAAGGAAACTAGTCAGTAATCCAAACACTTACTCTAACCCACTTTGACTCTGGCGCCCGAGCAAAAATAATTAGTAAGCCAAAAAATAGAACTGAAAAGTAAAAATATCAAGGGCATATTTTAGCAAACAGCAGACATTTAACACGGTTTCGCAACTATAAATCCGGTCATGAATGTGTACTTATTGAGCCAGGCACAAAACAGATTACTATTAGGAATTAGGGGACTGCACCCGCAGCGAAAAATATAGGTAGTGCGTAGACGAAGTAAGAAACCGTGCGAGTTTTGTATATCAGAAAAAGTAGAAGACTTACTGGTTTGTCTTTCATTGTGGGTGAAGAAACACACCAGTAATACTTGTTCTCATCGACGATACATGCGCTGATCAAGTTTTGCACAGACTGTTCTTCTTGGAAAAGCAGGAAGCAGTAGCCTGAAGTTAAAGGATACTCGCTAAGTCAGAGTGGTAAGAATCAGATAAAATTAGAGGTAAAATATCGAAAAACGTCTGTAATTTCCTGGCGTTAGAGAAACAGTTACAGTTAGAAGCAAGTTACTTATGAATGTGTAAGCTCGCGCCATTCCCGTTTCTCAAATCGAACCTTGACTAATATACGATTTAGTGCATCCAATAAGTGTGGGACGAAAAGACCCCAAAGAGGTAATTTTTTTCTCAGCTCTCACACTAATGATTGCATACAACGCTTGGTAACTTAGTAATGGCTTTAGAACGGATGCAAAGGAACACACTTAATCTAAACCTTTCGTAACGTGGACCGAAAAGCTGTTTATAATATGCAAATTGACAAATATTAGCCCGTATTATAATGCATGTAACGAAATAAGAGTGGTCGCTGCGTTATATGCTCTAGGAAGCCAGAATTTCTACCAGGAAAACAACGTCTGGTCGAACTTGATACGACTGGAACCATGCCTAACATATAGCCTGTCTTAGGGAGGTCCATAAAGAGCGCTTCTACGGCCCTCCCCGCATTCCACCCAAAGTCATTTTGGGCGTCGAAAACCAAATACCGGAGATCTAAAAATCAAATTTATATCGAAAAGGACCATCTTCAGTGACCTTTCCAACCACCGCATGTTTTTGTCTCTAGTGATTCATTTGTCTTGTGTGACAGAGACATAATCACGGCAACGCAGCGAATGCAAACTGCCCCCTTTTAACGATGTCCGGCGGTGGAGAAGATACACCTGCTCGGCCGGCGTGGCTTAGCGCTAGGTGGGAGAGTAGTTAGCACGACTGAAGTCGGCTAGTCGGCGTCC